TATAGATTGGTATTGGACCTATGGGCTAATATCAGACTTACGGACTTGATCTGGACTGGGCTGGGATGTTTTCTCCATATTCAATTGCTCTTGTATCTAAAACTCTTTCTTATACACATATAAGTGTCTACAAATTTGTTTCTCTAGTCTACCAGACGAACACAGGTATCTTTGAACTGTTGTTGCAGCCACTGTGTCAATCCATCTCGTTGAGGACCTTCCTCTTTTTAGCTGCCCCTCTACTTACCAAGCAGGATGTCCTTCTACAGGGACTGGTCTCTCCGGACAACACATCTGAAGTACATGAGACCAAGTCTCTCCATCCTTGCCTCTGAGGAGCTTGCTGGGTGTACTTCTTCCAAGACAGGTGTTTGTTTGTGGTACTTCCCATATTCTTCTCCAGCACCATCATTCAAACACATCGATTCTCCTGTGGTCTTCCTTACACGTTTCCCAACTTCCACATGCATATGAAGGTTCGGTGAGGTGTGCCTTAGCCCTCAAAGCAACGTGTGTGCTTTTCAGCAATTTAAAGAGGTCTTGTGCAGCAGATGTACCTAAGGCAACACGTCCTTTGATCTCTTGACTGCTGCTTCCATGGACATCGATTGTGGATCCTAGCAAGATGAAACCCTTGAAAACTTCCATGTTCCTCCACTGAGCATGATGTAATCTGTTGGTGTATTAGTGAGGATTTGGATCTTCTTTACATTGAGTTGTAATCCAGACTGAAAGCCTTCATCCTCGATTTTCATCGGCAAGTACTTCAAGGCCTCCTCGCTTTCGGCAAGCAAGCTTGGCTCAGCTGCATGTCACAGGTTGTTAATAAGCCTTCCTCCCATCCTGGTGCTGCGTTCTTCTTCATAGACTCCAGCCTCTCTGACGACTTTGTCAACATACCGATGGAACGCATCCTATACGGTCGGTATTCGTATCATCATTCTGCAGATGGGGAGGCTACGATTGAATAGATGGAATCACCTGCCCAAGGCCACCCAGGCCTGTAGAATCCCTTTCCCTAGACTTTTGGTTGTTGTTGTTGTTGTTGTTGTTCCTATGAAGGAAATTTTAGAGTCAGCTTATGGAGGCAGGAAGAACGACTGTGGTTTGAGAGCAGAGAACACGCCTTGCCCAGGTCCAGCCTAAAACCACGTCATCCCGACCATTACGTTGAAGTTACTCAAGGACTGGGACTGAACCCAGAGTCTATAAGAAGACAGTGATAAAGTCAAGAGCTGTGATTGTCCTGAAGGTCCCACTAACCCCCTCGATGGCCACGGGACAGGTTCTGTCGCATGCTACAGCTTCTGCCTGGAGCCTTAGTGAGGCGCTAAGTTGCCAGCAGGCATGAAAGTCCAACAGCTGGGTTAGCGAGCTGGAACCTTGCTGAGGGCCAACAGAGGAAGCCGCTGTGCAGGCTCCATTGTGTCACCCTCAAGCACCGCTGAGCATGTCTTAGTTGTCCCCAAGGACCTCAAGGGCCACACGCTGTAGGAGTTTCTCCACTCCTGCCCCCAGGGGACAGAGAATGGTGAAGCAATTATCTATCCCGTCTGAGACTCAGAGATTCTCTAGCCCAAGAGACTGGGTAGGAAAAGAGCTTCATCCCATGTTATTCTTACAGACTTGCTTCCCATTTCCCCAATACTCCTCCACACACACACACACCAGCCACACACACACACACATACACCAGCCACACAGCCCCAGACTCTCCCCTAGATAGCCCTTTGTCCTCCCCTCCTGCCTCCTTGATCTACAGGTCCCTCCCCAACTCTACCTACTGATCCTCCTCCCATCGTCAGAGCCCAGTGCAGGTACCACCTTCTCCAGGCAACCTGTATGGTCCCTCGACTGTGATCATTGCCTCCTTCTCCTGAGGCCTCTTAGAACTGTAGAGGCCTCTCTTGTGGAGTTGAGGTCAATCTCCTTTATGTGAGCTTTGTTTGTGGGAGGGAGGTTCTCTCCCCCTGATAAACAGACCGGAGGGCACAACAGGCACCAGAGTTCTTAGCTTCATGCAAGATTGTGATATATATTGGATAGGTGG